AGCCTCACCAGAATGGTTTCTGGGCCATTGCAAGTATTGGAATCATTCCAATTAAAAGCAAGCATCATCTTAAAATTAAGAACATGATTAAAAAAAAAAAAAAAAAATCAATGACACGAAGTTTTAAGTAGCATGAGAGCAAGCATCTGAAGGATTACATCAATTTAGAAAACTTAAGTAGTTAAGAAGAAGAGTCTGAAATGTCAAGCTGCAGAAAAGGAGGTATAGGTTTTGTTGTTCTAACAAGATAGCTGGGGATAGTGTTTTTCTTCTATTTTCAACTGAAGAACAAGGTTATGGTTTAAGTACGTTTGTAGAAGCAGATGCTACAGTCAAAATAACTTATGTTTACAAGATTGAGCCCATATGCCTCCAAAAGGCACATACACAGGAAAAAAGCAAAAGCAGAATTTTTACAAGCAACATCCAGGGAGAAAACTAACTGGTATATGGAACACAGACGCTGCATTAATCCTTTCTCACACTATAAGGTGCTGAAGGAGTAGCAGTATGTAATTATAATAAAGCTCACATCCACCTAAAGCCACCTGCAGAATAGGTTTTGAGTAACTCTGGCAATGCAACAAACGTAGTAAGAAAAAAAAAATCATTTAATCCCTAGTAGAGATATTAACGCCTAAGTAACATTTAAGAGAGATCATAAATATTTCACGTGTGAAACAAGGAGAGCTGAAGGCCTTCTCCAAAGAACAGAGCTTACCTTCATGTGGCATCCTACAACGCCGCAGAAATTCCAGAGCCTCTCTGCAACACCAGATGTCCATCTGATTTACTTGATTTCCTTACACGTATCTGTGCTTCAGAGAAGCTTTTATTGAGGCTTAGAAGAGGCATCACGTATAATCCCTTTCATCTGAAAGTGTATTTCCTAACACTTACTGAGAAGCGAAGTTTTCGGAACCGAAAGCAAACTGAAGGCCACACGCTCAAGACTGGAATTTTACTGAGCTGTTTCTACTCAGCACTACAACACAGAAGTGGAAATTTCCCCTAGGTGGAGTTCTTTGTTCAATGCAGCAGGCAATTAGAAGTCCCCAAGGTCTGCAGAAATGGCACAAGACTGGTATTTTTGTCAGTGAGAATTTAAGCACTTAAGACAAAAATAATAACGTGAAAGGCACAATGCTGCTGTAAAACCCTTGATATTTTTCTCACCCCAAATCCTGGTAATTTGAAACAGGCAGGTAAAAGACGTAAGCATTCAATATAGCTTGGGGAAAAAAAAGCCAAACGTGACTAAAAAAAAAACATTATCAGGTCTGCATCACTTCAGATTTAATTATACAAAAAGGTCAAGTGATAAAAAAGAAACTTTGCATCTTTAAAGGCCTTGAGGGCACAGCAGAAGTAATTTATCATTGGAATACAGATCAAATTAGAATAGATTTATTTTCCTTTTCCAGTTGGCATCAGCGTCCTAGCTGAAGTTCTCAGGGACTTCACAAGCAAATACAGCAGTCACTGAATTCAGACGCAACTACTATGGAAAGAAAAACATTAATTGCTGGGTATCAATGATTTATCTAAGCTCTTCTATTCAAATTCGTTTGGAAGAGAGCTTGTCAAAGGTTATCTGCCCTCAACACAGGATGATCTGAAAGGGAGACTGACTGTCACTAAACGCAAGCCCTTGGGAACGCCCTATTCAAGGGTTCACATATCGATAATAAAAAACAAAACAAAACAAACACACCAACAAAAACTGCCACTCCCCTTCCTCTGTGCAGGAATAAAGAAAAACAATTTGTAGTCGATAAGAAGATTACTGGGTGTTCTAAGGACAGGGACTGGTAGCTAAAATAATCAAGCGAAAGAAAATCCACCTAATGGGACCACGCCAACCCAACCGAACTAATAACTGCAAGACATTTCTATGCATTTTCCTGAACTCCAGCACACGTCCAAACGTCACCTTTATTACTGAAAAAAAAATAAAAATCAATCTCTCACATATTTTTCATCATGTTACCTGACAGCAACCAGTAAGGATCGCAGTATAAAAACCAAGAACAGTAACCATTTCGCTCCCTAAACTCTGCACCGAGATTCCCATTCCTGAGAAAATCTGGCAGCAACGAGGACTCGAGAGCTGCAGTGTCCCCCCAGACAAGACAATGGGAGAGGATGCAGCAAAAATATGAATTAAAATGTCACAGTTGACATCTTGTGTCAGCAGATTAAGGCGGCTGTCGTGCCTTCAACGGACGCAAATTCTGCTGCAGGAATGGCTGAAGAGATTGAGGAGGCACCGAGGACGGGCTGGGGCACGAACATCACCGCACGCGTGTCGGCAGAGACGAGGCTGCTGCAGGTTGGGAGTGACCCCACAGCCCGTGAACCAAGCCTGTTACGGGCACCGCAGGACGCAGAAAACGAATGAGGCAGGCTCGGTTTCAGTTTAATCCTTTCCGAAGAGGTTAACACCCCCAGTCTCTGGGGCTGCCAGCTCCTCGGGGGGGCTGAGGTGTGCTGCTGCTGCTCTCCTTGCTGTGCCAATCCCTGTCGTCCCTGTGACTAGCAAACCCCGGGATCCGCGTCTTCAGATGGACACGAGGTTTCAGAATAAAACGACAGCTAGATTTATTTTCCAGCTTGGCATTTTGTAACCCATGTCCATAAGAAGCAGCAGCTTCCAGAAGGGATGTGCATAGCAGCTGAATTTGTCTCGGATATGACAGAGGAAGTGACCTACAGCTGGACGAGTTTCCAAACAGGTGCAAGAGATCAGATTTAACCGGGCCACCGCGGAGCAGCCAGGACAGGCCCCCACCACCAAGGCAAGGCCAAGTAACCTGATCTTGGCATGAGCCAGACTCCCTCAGAGCAGCCCTACTCGGCCTTAAGTCATCCTTCCTCCAATATACCCCCTCCAGGTTTTTCCAAAGACAATTATCGCCACGTTCCATGGATTTACAGAAATTTAACAGAAGGAGATTGGTACCGAGTAGGCGGAAAACTATTCCTCAATAGCAGCTGAATAAGCAAAAGTCATTGACTAGACTAATTTCGCACAACGCACATCAAAAATATTGCAGAACCGTGCTTATTGCCAGTTAGTAATTACTGCCAGCTTAGGGCTTCAGATTTTTGCACCCCACCAAGGTAGATGTTGTGCTTAACCAAGCTTGTTAAATCTTACTGTAAACTGTCAAATCAAGCTATTCACAAGTAGCCACAAGCCCTTTCTATACCCAAAATCTATACAAGACAGATGTAGCTGTTTAGCATTTCCAGGCATAGAATATTAAACTCTATTTATGTGCCATGCTTGAAGCTCAGCACGTACTTTGCCCCTTGTTTTGCTGTTTCACTCTAATAGGTTATAGTGTGAAGTTTTTAGACTGACAAGATTTTTTTACATATTTATCTTGCTATTCAGATAGCTAGATTGCACAAAGTTTTTGGTTTTAGGGATAAAGTTCGACTTTCATATATATACAAATGCAATATATATTCATCTTTATATACATTATATATAGATGTATGTGTGTGTATATTGATACAAAGAGTGGCACTTAAGCCGTTTCTATATTAAATGAACACCCTTTACACTTGGCTGAAGCAGCCCCTCCGAAAGATCAGGTAACAGCTCAAAGATTTATTCAAGGTCTATCAAGCAGATAGCAACCAAATGGATTCGTTTAACCGAGGCTTTTCTCAACGAAATTGCCCTCTAATACTCTTCTAAGCTTCTAGACCAATCTGAAGCTCACAGCTCTTGCTACCGTGCCAAGAATGCAGAGGTCACTTCTCGAAAAAAAAACCTCCAAACCCCCCCCAAGCATCCCAGTGAAACGAAGCTGTTAAACCATGCGATCCTTGGCCAGATAAGAGGCCTGCGGTACCTGGCGGGAGCGCTGGCCTCGAGACAAGGGGAAATCAGGAACCCATCACCGCCTACCCCTAGAAGGTCTGGCAGGAGCTGGTCAACCTCCAGGTCCTTCCACGCCAGCAGGGACACCTTGAACACGCCGCTTCTCTTCCGCCTTCACAACCGCAGCCCAGCCGCGGGCTGACCCCAGGCTATAACGCAGCCCCCCCCCCCCCCCAGCGCGAACTCGCCGCCCGGGGCGGGGGGAAACACCCCGATAAGATGGCGAGAAAGTCCCCCCACGGCTGCGCCCCCGCTCTCCCCACGGCCTCTCCTCCACCTTCAGCCGCCGCCAGACAATGCCCGGCCCCGCCACCGGGTCTGTCTCTTATACAC